AAAGGTCTAAAAATATAAAAAATAAGGCACTTATCATAATGATCTTTGTCTTGACTTTGAAAGCAAAGCTATCATAACTAAGAGCATCCACAGTGGGGGGGTGTAAATTCGGGGGTGTAAAGCCACTTTTACATCCCCTTTACACCTGGGGGGTGTAAATATGTTTTCTGCTCCAGTGGGTGGGTGTAAATTCGGGGGTGTAGCCGTGGGTCCTAGCCTTTTATGTTGACTTTTCTTTATTTTTCTTCTTTTTTCTCGGGTGGGTCCCGCCTGCAAGAGATGTAAAAATGGATGTAAATATACATTTTATTTTACATCCTCATTGTGGTGATGTATATTTACATTCATTTACATCTCACCATTGGAGACCATTCCGGTGACTCGGGGTGTATATTTAACATACACCCACCCACTGTGGATGCTCTAACAAGAAGAATGTTATCAATTGATGTTTGAAATTTAATATGAGTTAGGCATTGAGAGGTCAGTTATATGCATATTGGGTTTTTTTTATTCTTCTGCAGATTGGATTCAAAGGTTACTTAAGTCGTGATCAGTCTCAGTCAATAGGTCTTCTGCCCTTGTCGAACGCATGTCACACCATTTTTGTCCTCCAGTTCATTCCGTATATATGCTGCTGTTCTGTCTCTTCATTAAAATAAAAACAAAGTGATTTGACATCTAAGAGGCCAATGAAGAAAAATGCAGGAAGCCGGCGGTTCGATTATATATGCAGAAAATCATAACATAATTATAGGAAAAGATGCTAAAACTTGGAGCATCTTATACGGATTTGAAGGAGCTAGACCCATAGGATTTGGACTTTCTGTCTCTTCACCTCAAAGAAAAGGTGGGGGGGGAAAGGGTGGCATCTAAATTGGGTTATAGTAAAGAAGATCACTGGAGTACTGTGTTAAGTTGTTTAACAACCGCTAGACCCCAAAAGCTTAAGCTCTCGGGAAAGGGCCAACAATATGTACCAAGCTATAACGAACAGTTTGTTTGCCAAATCATTCTATCTTGAATATTCAGAAAAACTTATAGAAAGATGACAGAAAAAAGAAAAATATTGAAATAATTAAGATTGCAGAGTACTCCCTAGCTTCTAAGCCTTATACTCTTTATAATGTTGTTCTTCTCTAGGTAGGGCAGTTTGGACTTTGAGTGAAATCCTTGCATCTTTGGCTCCGTCGGAGAAGGTAGGCAATACAAGTCTTACAAGATCACTATGGCCATAACTTCAAAATACACAGTTTTGTGCTCAAATTC